CAATTCTGGGGAACATTTTCATTAATTTGCGTGGTTTTGTTTAGGGCTGCAAATTTTCAGATTGTTGAAAATGAGTGATCAGTTAGTAAATATTAAGTTTGTACAGGAAGTGGAAAAACACGAAGTATTGTATAATTATAACCTTCCTGGATACTCAAGACGAGATGTAACGGAAAAAGCGTGGAGTGAGGTGGCGAAAGAAGTAAGCATGACAGATATGTACAATGCGTTTAATAATATAAATTAATTAATGAACAACATATATTGCACATTAATTGACAAAACGACGGAACAAGACATTGTGTAGCAGGACAACCAATATATTTAATCTATAAAAAAGTAAATAAAATATCAATTTTGATGAAAGTATATATGTAACAACAGTTTTATCTGCGTAACTACTTTTGTACAGTAAAAATCAAATGTCTCGGACACAATAATTCCATTGCCAGGGCAGAGAGGCATGAGGAGACAGAAAATAATTAGCAATATAATTTCTGAGGGCAGTTGGTGTTGCATCCACATTTATTGTTAAATCTGCCATTGGTATAATTGTGTTATTTTGTGATGTTCCTGTCATTTGAACTGAAGATGCTGTATACTCAATTCCTTCTCGAGCGCGAACAAAGTTGTGTAAAACGCAAACGGCTTTTATTATATTGCTGACTGTTCCCAGATCTCGGCATAGTATAGGACCGTTTAGGACCTGAAACTTTTCTGCTGCCATCCCAAATGCGCATTCAATTGTTTTTCTCCCTCGGCTCAATCTATAGTTAAAAATGCGTTTAACGTTGTCTAGTGTTCTTTTTGGATACGGTCTCATTAAATATCGTGTTAATGGAAAAGCTTCATCCCCTACAAAATAGTAAGGCAATGGGACTCTTTCTTCATCGTGCGTTAAGGGGGAGGGTGAAGGAATCTCAAAATTGCCTTGTGTTATCCAGTACTTGATTCTAGAAGCACGGAAGATCCCTCCATCGCTGTTTCTTCCTGCATAACCTGGTTCTATCATTGTAAAAAGTCCATCTGCATCACAACATGCCATAAGTACCACAGAATGATAAGATTTATAATTGAAGTATTCTGAACCAAGGTTAGCAAATTTCTGTATTCGGATATGTTTACCGTCTATTGCCCCGATGCAGTTGGGAAGGTTCCACAAGAACTCGAAACGATCTGCTATCGCTTTCCATTTTTCAACCGTTGGTAAAGGCATATAGGTGTCATTCAGCACATCCCAGATTATTTTTGTTGTTTCTTTAACGATAATACCAACTGTGGTCTCCCCTCTTGAGAAAGTATAAAGAAAGCGATACAAATGTGCAACCCGTAGCCAAGTACCTGTAAAAACATAGAAAAATGAAATTTAAAAAAAAATGTATTAATAAATTGTTATTTATTGACTATTAAAAGGTATTTCCCTACGATATCTATAATACATATAAGTTATCTCTCATGTTTTCTTTTGCGTAATTTCCATTTTTTGCTTCTTTAATAATTAAAAAAAACTCTTTTTCCAGTTGTTGAGTGCAAGGAAAAATGGAGAAACCTTCGTACAGTTCTTTCTCGAAAAATGAAATGCCCTCCAAGTGGATCAGGAGCGACAAAGAAGAAAGCTTATTACTTGGCTGATGTAATGCAGTTTGCTGTGCCATTTATAAAGACAGCCATTCCTCCTTCACCTGGAAATTTGCCAGAGATGCCTGAACAACAGACAACCCAAGTACTATCACCCTCAACTAGCGATTATGATGAAAGTATTGCAGAAAATGATACAGAACCTGCATCGTTCTCACAGCAGCCCTCATCTCCATTTTCTCCGCCACCGCCGCCACTACAACAAACAGCACAGACTAAACGAAACACAGAGGGAAAGTCTTGTCAGAAACAAAAATTTAAGGTGGCCTCACGGCGGAAATGTGAAGAGGACGCAGATGTGTCTATCGCTGAATATTTTACAGCTAAGAAGACTAAACTGGACCAAAATCAACAAGATGAAAGGAAAGAAAGTATTAAAATGTTTTTGTTAAGCCTGATACCCGATTTGTCTCAGTTGAGTGATGTACAAATAAGGGAATTTAAGCGAAGAGTTTTGAATATTATCGACGATATTGGATTGAGTGCAGTAAGCCCCACTGAAAATACTACTGCTCGCTGCCAAAGTGGATCTGTGACATATTCTAATTCATCAAGTTTATCAGCAATATCATTTCCATCGACTCCTCATAATATTCCTCCCACAAGTCAGTATTATGAGAATTTTAGACATTCTCTGTCCCCCACTGAGGTCAATACCTACACTATTATTGATGACAGCACAACTTAGCAAGTTGCGTTCTTCCTTTTTTAAATGTTTAATTGTATTAAGCTTATAATACTTACCTTAAAGTGATTAGTATTCTTTCCTCTGCGCTCACACATTCTCGCATATTTATGTTCATCTTTGATAGGAAAGGGCTAAGCAGCTTAACTAATTCCAGGTAAGAAGCTTTGGACATTCTGTAGCATTGCACAATTTGACATCTGTTTCGGCTAGCTGGTTAGCTGCCATGAAAAACCTGCAGTTTATGTTTCTTTCAATATAAGGATGACACCACAGTTTTCTTCGAAGCCTTCGTTGTCTTTTGTATCGGTAATAAATAAGCACGTCTTCTTCCTCACTACTAGGCATATCTCACAGAAATAGAAGAAAATGTTAAAAAAACTGCATCCATACTGCTCTCATGTACAGCACTGTTTGAGCTGGTTGTACGATACCAATTCAAATTCAGTCGTTTCATGTGCGGACAAGTACAAGCAATATGAAACTATAATTTTAAAACAATTGCGTTGCTTGGCAGTTGATCAACACGTATCGCGACCTGGTTGCGTCGTGTGCGGACGGCCTAAGAGTACATATTTGACGTAAAAACTAATAACAATCAGAACAGTATAAATCAGCTTCAAGCGTAATAGAGAAAAACAACTATATCAACAACATAAATAAACAACTCTCACTACTCACGACCTAATCTACAAAAATTGCTCGAAAATATCTCCACCATGTTGAATATACAGCAGTAGCCTTTGGATAAATGACCGTTGCACATCCTTCAGAAAAGCATCTTTAATCCTTTCCTTTATATTTTCCGGGGTAGATGGTGGATATCTATAAACCTCTTGCTTAACGTAGCCCTATAGAAAGAAGTCCATCGGTGTCATATCTGGTGATCTAGGAGGCCAAGATATAGGCCCATCACGACCAATCCAACGATTGTTACTCCAGGTGTCCAAATAGTTACACACGCGATTATGATAATGCGCAGGTGCGCCGTTATGTTGGAAGTACATATCCATCAGAGTTTGCAGGTTGACACCCTCCAAAAGCAAAGGCAAAAAAATCAAGTATTCTGTACCTACATGTTAATCTATTGTCGAAAAAGAAAGGCCCGATAACTTGTCTGCCAATAACTCCTCCCGAAACATTCAAGCTCCATTTATTTTGGAAATCTATTTGTCTAACCCAGTAAGGGTTTTCCGTCGCATAATAGTACATGCTATGAATGTTGACAACACCTATGTTGTTAAAAGTTGCCTCATCGCTAAAACGAACCTTATCCAGGAAAGTAGTGTCTTCACTCACTTTATTTAGCATTATTCTACTAATGCAAAATCCTGAGGACGACGGCCTTGATGCAAGCATAGGTGACATAGATGGTACCTATGCTTGTGAATAATCGTTTGGACAGAAGTTCTGCATATATCAGTTTCTGCTCAAATTTGCCGTGCACTTAAATGGGGATTTTCCTGCAACTTTAATAGAACCTCCAACTGATTCGCCTCATTGGTGACACTTGGATTATTTATACATTTTTTACTATATTCCACTGCTCCACTTGATTCAAAACGTTCTCGTAGTGTGGAAAATATTTCCTGCCTTGGATGTCGCATATTAGGGTACCCTTGCTTATGAATGCGAGATGCTAGGAAAGTATTTCTTTGGGCTTCGGACAAAACGAACACCATATTCACCATTTCTTCTATAGAAAAATTCATTTTCAAACACGTTTTTATTATAATGCTCACAAAGCTAATTTTGACAGTTTGTAAGTAATCAACAATTTATTTGTTTCCAAGGATGATGCGATATTTTAGAGAATTAAGCCGTTCCATAAAAGACGTGCTAATAACCGAAAAAATAGCCGTAAAAACCCTTGTGTCTAGTATAAAAAAAAGTTTATAAAAAATTGAATCGAAACTTGCACAAATATACAGAGTGATGCACATGAAATTTTTGAGAAAAACTACAATTTGCGTTTTTGACCACCCTGTATGAGCAAATTGAAATTAGAAAAAGTAACAAATAATACAAAAGCTGAGGTGTGAAAGTTTTTTTTTAATACAAAATTCAGCACTCCAAATTTCAAAATGGCGTACTGAGGGGTTGTCGAAGTGGGGGGTTTCTCTAGACAAAACACCTTATATCTCACTAGCTAATGACCAAAGCCCCATAGTATGTTATATCAATTTTCTTCTTTTGAATTGGTTTATTCAAATATGCAATAAAATTTGAGGCTTTCCGCTTGAAAAATCACAACAAAATGTATTTGTTTATGAGTAATATTCCGTAACCACACATGGATGAACCACCCTGTATAATATGTAATTTATGTTGTACTTGTCACACTGATTAATCTCCATGCTATTATACTTGATAAAACCACAGATAATGAACATGAGCTTACTGACGTTTCGGTTTCACAATGCTTTATAATTCAGAGGTGAACTGTGTGAAATTTACTTCAATATAAGAAATCCGTCAATACACACCTTGTCCTGATACTGAGAATTGCTATTTAGAATCCTTTCCCCTGAATAGTGGAATCTGTATTCCTATAATTTGTGGAGATTCTATGCACATACATAAATTTAATATAAATATATATGCAGAATGAATCTTTAGTGTATGTATTATCAGTCGATAGCTCCGACTAAAAGTCAAAAGGAACATCGATAGACAAATGAAGAAAGAAGAAAAACAAAAGATAATCGAGGAAAAACAAAAACTGAAGAAAAAAAAACATCAAAATCAGATAAGACAAAAAGGAAAGCGTCCCAGACATGAGTCAACTGACGAAAGCGACAATGAGGACGACACCTCATGTCTCTATTGTAGTGGATTATATTCCGAATCTGTAGAAGGCTGGATAAACTGTATAAAGTGTAATAAATAGTTTTTTTGGTACAGTCCCTTTAAGTTTTATTAGGCAATCCAATTTTATTTTAGTTAAATGTTGTTTAATTCTTACATTTTGACATTATATTATAAACCCCATCTTACCCCACCTATGGGGCAAGACGGGGAAAATCTTACTTTTTCAGTTTTCCCAGTTTTAAAAAAAATAAATAAATTTTTAATTTGTTTTCGGATACTATTTATTCACTTATAACCAATGAATACTATAAATATTCCAAAAAGTACGAATTTGAGCTATAACTCCAAATCAATCCTTAGCTACCCCATCTTGCCCCACCTACCCCATGTCCCGCCCTCAGAATTTCGACGTCGCCATGATAATTTCAATGTGCCTTGATTTAGGTACCTACGTCGACTAAACGCAACAGAAGACTAGCGCCAACTGAACAGACGATGTACGAGTATTTATTCTTCGAGAAAGAACATTTCATAGTGATGAAAAATTTCACCGGTGTGAAGATGGCAGACAAAATTTAGCGGACAATTTGCCGAAGATACCCGAATGACCAGTGGCGTTGACATCCTCGACCAGACTGTGATTGTGAAGGATACAGCTAACAGCTCGCAACAATAAATATATATGCACGAGAATAAGCACCTCTATAGGAAGAATCATTTCCACCCTAATTAAATAATTCGCAGGAACAAGAGTTAACCCAAAACCTTTCTTCCAATTTTAACTTACCGATTACTGTATTGAAAGTAATTAATGAGCTAAATAGCATATACTGAGAAAATCTCTAAAGGGGTGCTAGATGAAAAAATATAAATAAAACTTCATTTTCACCCCCAAAAAAATGATTCCTAAAATACTCTATTACAGAGACAATTCATGGGCTAGGTGGCATGGTGTAAGAAAGCTTCTGAAAGGCTGGCAGATAAACAAATATGCTAAACAATTCATTTTCACCCCCAAGGAAATGATTCCCCAAAATCAGTTGTACCTCAAAAAAATTCTCTATTATAGAGACAATTTATAGGCTGGGCGGCATGGTGTGAGACAGCTTCTGAAAGGCTGGCAGATAAAAAATATGCTAAAAAAATTCATTTTCACCCCCGAAGAAATGATTCCCCAAAATCAGTTGTACCTCAAAAAAAATACTCTACTATAGAGACAATTTATAGGCTGGGTGGCATGGTGTGAGAAAGCTTCTGAAAGGCTGGCAGATAAAAAAATATGCTAAAAAATTCATTTTTACCACCAAATAAATGATCCCCAAAATCACTTGTACCTCAAAAAAATACTCTATTATAGAGACAATTTATAGGCTGGGTAGCATGGTGTGAGAAAGCTTCTGAAAGGCTGGCAGATAAAAAAATATGCTAAACAATTCATTTTCACCCCCAAGGAAATGATTTCCCAAAATCAGTTGTACCTCAAAAAAATACTCTATTATAGAAACAATTTATAGGCTAGGTGGCATGGTGTGAGAAAGCTTCTGAAAGGCTGGCAGATAAAAAATATGCTGAAAAAATTCATTTTCACCCCCAAGGAAATGTTTCCCCAAAATCAGTTGTACCTCAAAAAAATACTAAATTATAGAGACAATTTATAGGCTAGGTGGCATGATGTGAGAAAGCTTCTGAAAGGCTAGCAGATAAAAAATATGCTAAAAAAATTCATTTTCACCCCCAAGGAAATGATTCCCCAAAATCAGTTGTACCTCAAAAAAATACTCTATTATACAGACAATTTATAGGCTGGGTGGCATGCTGTGAGAAAGCTTCCGAAAGGCTGACAGATAAAAAAATATGCTAAAAAATTCATTTTCACCCCCAAGGAAATGATTCCCCAAAATCAGTTGTACCTCAAAAAAATACTCTATTATAGAGACTATTTATAGGCTGGGTGGCATGGTGTGAGAAAGCTTCTGAAAGGCTGGCAGATAAAAAATATGCTAAAAAAAATTCATTTTCACCCTAAAGGAAATCAGTTGTACCTCAAAAAAATCACTTGCACCTCGAAAAAATACTCTATTATGGAGACCATTTAAGGGCTAGGTGGCATGGTGTGAGTAAGCTTCTGAAAGGCTGGCAGATAAAAAATATGCTAAAAAAATCATTTTCACCCCCAATTTTTGGGAAATCATATCCTTGGGGGTGAAAATGAATTTTTTTAGCATATTTTTTATCTGCTAGCCTTTCAGAAGCTTTCTCACACCATGCGACCTAGCCTATAGATTTTCTCTATAATAGAGTATTTTTTTGAAGTATAACTGATTTTGGGAAATCATTTCCTTGGGGGTGAAAATGAACTTGTTTAGTATATTTTTTATCTGCCAGACTTTCAGAAGCTTTCTCACACCATGCCACCTAGCCTATAAATTGTCTCTATAATAGAGTATTTTTTTGAGGTACAACTGATTTTGGGGAATTATTTCCTTGGGGGTGAAAATGAATTTTTTTAGCATATTTTTTAGCTGCCAGCCTTTCAGAAGCTTTCTCAAACCATGCCGCCTAGCCTATAAATTGTCTCTAAAATGGAGTATATTTTTGAGGTACAACTGATTTTGGGAAATCATTTCCTTGGTGGTGAAAATGATTTTTTTAGCATATTTTTTTATCTGCCAGCCTTTCAGAAGGTTTCTCACACCATGCCGCCTAGCCTATAAATTGTCTCTATAATAGAGAATTTTTTTGAGGTACAACTGATTTTGGGAAATCATTTCCTTGGGGGTGAAAATGAACTTGTTTAGTATATTTTTTATCTGCCAGACTTTCAGAAGCTTTCTCACACCATGCCACCTAGCCTATAAATTGCCTCTATAATAGAGTATTTTTTAAGGTACATCTGATTTTGGGGAATCATTTCCTTGGGGGTGAAAATGAATTTTTTTAGCATATTTTTTATCTGCCAGCCCTTCAGAAGCTTTCTCACACCATGCCACCTAGCCTATAAATTGTCTCTATAATACAGTATTTTTTTGAGGTACAACTGATTTTGGGGAATCATTTCCTTGGGGGTGAAAATGTATAATGTATAATAGAGTATTTTTTGAGGTACAAGTGATTTTGGGGATCATTTCCTTGGGGGTAAAAATGAATTTTTTTGCATATTTTTTATCTGCCAGCCTTTCAGAAGCTTTCTCACACCATGCCACCCAGCCTATAAATAGTCTCTATAATATCTATAATTGAGTATTTTTTTGAGATACAACTGATTTTGGGGAATCATTTCCTTGGGGGTGAAAATGAATTTTTTTAGCATATTTTTTATCTGCCAGCCTTTCAGAAGCTTTCTCACACCATGCCACCTAGCCTATAAATTGTCTCTATAGTAGAGTATTTTTTTGAGGTACAACTGATTTTGGGGAATCATTTCTTCGGGGGTGAAAATGAATTTTTTTAGCATATCTTTTATCTGCCAGCCTTTCAGAAGCTGTCTCACACCATGCCGCCCAGCCTATAAATTGTCTCTATAATAGAGTATTTTTTTGAGGTACAACTGATTTTGGGGAATCATTTCCTTGGGGATGAAAATGAATTTTTTTAGCATATTTTTATCTGCCAGCCTTTCAGAAGCTGTCTCACACTATGCCACCTAGCCCATGAATTGTCTCTGTAATAGAGTATTTTTTTGAGATATAAATCATTTTGGGGAATCCGTTTTTTGTGGGTGAAAATGAAGTTTTATTTATATATTTTCATCTAGCACCCCTTTAGCGATTTTCTCAGTATATTCTATTTAGCTCATTAATTACTTTCAATACAGTAATCGGTAAGTGAAAATTCGAAGAAAGGTTTTGGGTTAACTCTTGTTCCTGCGAATTATTTAATTTGGGTGGAAAATGATTCTTCCTATAGGGGAGCTTATTCTCGTGCATATATATTTATTGTTGCGAGCTGTTAGCTGTATCCTTCACAATCACAGTCTGGTCGAGGATGTCAACGCCACTGGTCATTCGGGTATCTTCGGCAAATTGTCCGATAAATTTTGTCTGCCAACTTCACACCGGTAAAAATTTCAAACAAAAGGGATTTCATGTCTATTGCTAAGCAAAATAGCAAAAACGTTGTTCAAATGCGGTAGTTTTCTTAAACGGGAGCGACATATATCGTCGTTCTACTTTCAAAACCTTGTAAGTCTTGAGAGGATAAATTTTCAGGAGAGAGAAAAAATGTTCTGTACCATGTCAAATGTGTTATTGTAATGTGTTTGATTTTTTGGATAAAAAGGCACACCATATGGAATACGGACTTAAACAAATCGAGAAAAGTAGTAGTACTTAGATAAGACAGACACATACCGGTTTTTGATTCCCAATATTTATTCAGAATAACAAGACATACAAGACTTTAACCATAATTCTAAACATTCCAAAGTTGAAATACACAATTTTCAGCGTCATTGATATCGGATGTTAATCACCATCTAATTTTTTTTTTTTAAGTCTTGGAGGTGATCATATTTAGCATTTTTTATTGCCAGAGCACTGCTATACGGATAAGAAATTTCTTCTCTTCCATCAACAGGCTTACTATTTCTTTTTGTAAGTGGCATCCACTCTTCATCGAAATTTGTTTTGTAAAGAAGAACGCCATCTGGAGTGTATTTGAGACCACATACGAGTATACTATTCACACGGTTGGATCACTGAGATGAATTGATGAGAAATAGTTTAGGTTCTTGAAATAGTTGAGTGCTAACTACCGCATTCCATTTGAGTATGCCCGGGAACGAGATATTTCTGCAGGATGGTTATATATTTTCTTTTCGAGAGGCGTAGTAATGCATTCGTAAGAATAATGTTTCTGTTTTGATAGTTGCGGCCGCCCGAAAAAATATGACTTCCTCACCAGCGTTAATCCCTTCATTTTCAATAAAATTACAAAGAATTGTAGCATATTTATTTGATGTGACAGAGCATTCTCCTTCATGACACAAGTAACAAAAACCATTTGCAGTTTTCATATAAAAAATGGTGTAGTTTTGGACCATAAGCTTCTGTTTATAATAAATGCTCGAAGCTTTTAACATAGGGCAAAGTAGGATGGACTGCATATCAACGGTGTACATGTGAAGAGCCACTTGTTTGTCCATTTCTTTTTCTTTTCGTGCCCTGTCCTTCCCTTTTATGTGTTCGGCATATTCCGCCTTGTAACTTGCCCAACTTTATAAGATATTCAGATGTCACATTGATCTTTGCTGGGCCTAAATAGGCTTAGATTATTTTCGACGAATTCTTCATAAAATACTTCAGAACTTTTGTCGCAAATATTTATGTATTCATGATACACTGCTAACTTAGATTGCCAAATTGGTTCAACATACAGTTTTTGAGTTGACTTTCGGCAATAGTGCGATTCCATCTTTTGCAGCATTCCAAAGAAGTCTCTGAAAGCCTGAAGTTTGTCTTCGAATGCCTTGCTACGTCTGATTTTTTCTTTGTGGCCATGAGTTATCTGATCTCCCTCCGAGTTAAATTCTCATTTCCCAATAACGCCCAAGACCTACTAGACCACTCACCTACATATAATGTATCGTTGAATATGGTTTTACATACTCATTCTCGAACTCCACTTTTCTTCAAATCATATATTAGTGTGGATTCCCTACGGGATTCATTGTTTTTGGTATTCTTTTTATTTTTTACGGGTGATCTATCTATTAGACTATTTATATACGTCTTCCTTTGATCTCAGCTCATTTCTTTCCAAAATCTGTTAAATATCTGTAGGCTATCGCTTTCAGTAAAGATCCTGCATTTAATTTTACTTTCTCCTTCACTCGCAGTTGTAGAAGGATTTCATTTGTATTGCCTTTGTGGTTTGACTAAACGCCCACTTACCCTCGCATTTCGGAGATCCGGTCCTGGTGAATAATGTGAATACACGTATACACGTGTGTAATTAGCTCTGTAATTTAACTCATTCTTCTGAGAAGTTACCAGTATTTAATTGATGGCGGGTAGTAAACCTACAGTGTAAACGTGTCCATACGCGTATATTTTAGATGAATTCTATAAGAGTCAAATTTGCGACGGGTCGACCGGGAGGCGACTTTATGCGCGGTGATTAAATCATTGTAGAGATAAGAACAGGTCCGGCCTTAGAGCAAACACAAGTATGGAAAGTGATTTCAAAAAAATTATGAGGACTCCAGTAAAGCAAAGTAGGGATGAACAAATTTATAAACTATTGGAGTTGTTGCTAGATATGAGAACTTAAATAAGGGTCATGAAAAATGAGATAAAGGACCTGAGAAAAGAGCAAAAGGAATTCCGAGAAGAAACGCAGATATTAAAACAGGAAAACGAGGACCTAAAAAATAAAAACAAGGACATTAAAAGCGAAAACGAGAGCATGAAAAAAGAAATAAGTGGCATGAAAAAAGATATACAACTATTGGGGAAAGAGAAACGTGAAGATAATGTAGTATTGACAGGTCTGAAAATAGAAACACCAAACCCAAGTCTTCTAAAGCACAAAATAAACGACTTCTTAGAGAAGAACTTAGGAATCAAGGTACAAATAAAAATAGTACGTAAGCTAGCTGAAAGGGTGTGCTGGATCGGTTTAGGCGGGCCAGAAGACAAACAAAACGTAATGAAAAATAAGCATAGACTCAGAAACTTTAAGGATAATAGAGTATTTATAAGCCATGATCTGAGTAAAACTGAAATACTCATGAAAAAAGTGATACGAGAAAAAGCAACCGAGGAAAGAAGGGATGAAAAAATTGTGAAAATTGGGTTTAGTAAGCTGATAATTAATGGAGATGAATGGAGATGGAACAAGAAAGAAGAAAAACTACAGCTTGAAAAAAACTAGGTGATGAAAGCCTAGTGGATGGAAAGATGACGAACCAAGCAATTAAAATGGATACCCAAAAACCTAAGTATATAAAAAATCACAAGGAATTGGAAAGAATGAGGTGGGGAACCTGGAAAGTCAGGGGAATACACAGGCGGTCAAACGGGGGATAGAGGGAGTAATTCCCCCCCCCAAACGACTCGAGCAGTCTTTGAAAAGGTGGTATAAAGTAGACGTAATATAAAAAAATCTGTAACTTTATGAAAGGATAGCGGCAACACTGCCAACCCGCTCGGTGCGCATGCGACTAGCGACTACTCTCCCAGCAACAGCAATGGTGTGCGCTTCTTCCTGTTGGAACAGGTATAGTCTAGTTTTTTATGATCTATTCTAGTGTTTAAATTCTGTACCAGTCCGGAGTCCGCAACTAAATTTGGCTGAGAAGTCAACAAGCGGAGTTTTTTTGATCGGACGGAAAAATGGAAATTTAATATAATTTCAATTATGAAGTGTTTGGTCCATACTCCAGCTAGCATTATCATCAATGTCTATTTTGTCTCGGAAGTCTCTGTATATAAGCACTTCAGTGCGTTGCGTTCGTCCGAGATGGCAAATTATATATTTAGTGTTTGAAAATTGCGTGAACTTAAGAAATCTTGTTTTCCAAACAGAAAAGGTTCTTTGTTATGAGATACATGAATGCGTGTAAACCAATAATGCCGTTTATTTGACAATATTTGTGTAACTTTTAGTGCTAGTTAACGGCTGCTGTTGTCAGGATGAGTAAAAGGAAACAATACCATCTATTGGTTCCTTTATAAACAAAACAAACTGTCTGATCCACCGGCACAAGAATTACTGGAAAAAAACATGATAATCCTACAATTCAACCTGAGATTTCCACTTCAAAATTTCTTGATGTTGCACCGTATGCTGAACCGAGTATTGAACAATCGAGTGTGAAACCTAAAGGATCCAGTTTGGTGATGTTGCGCCATATGTAAATTTCAGCGACAACTTGTCTTCAAATGAAAAATATACCTTATTGAGGTGTGCAATGATCTCTAATGACTCTTTCAAATGTCCCTATTCCACACACTTGAAAAATAATAAAGAAGTGAAATGTTACTTATAAAAAAAAACACTTTAAGAAATTTCCTTGGTTGTAAATATTGCGTGGTTTTTGCAAAATTAGAAGGAGTACATAAATCAACTAAATTGGGAAAACTTGTTACCGTACCACTAAAAAAAAATTCGAAATTGTATGGCAAGACCGGTGACTGTGAGACACATGAGAACTCAATATGTCATACAGAAGCAGTTTCAGATGCTACATACTTTTTAAAGATTTACGAAAATCCAGAGAATAATACAAGAAATATAATAGGTTCAGAAAGAATTAAGCAAGTATCAGAAAATCGGCAAAGATTGACTTCTATAATAGAATCTATAATTTTTTTAGGACGCCAAAATATACCACTTAGAGGGCATAGAGATAGGGGACGACTTGTTTCTAATGACAGCACGAATATGAGGATGTTCCTAATAATTAATGGAATTTTAGAGAACTAATACGGTTTAGAGTCGAGAGCAGCGATAATTTATTGAATAAAAACTTAGAGAACTGAAAAGCGCATGCTACGTACATAAGCAGCCAGATCCAAAATGAAATTATAGAATGTTGTGGCAAGAAATCTTGGATATAGTTTTAAGTCGCGTCGGGCAAAGTCAGTATTGTTATCAAAAACATATTTACGAGGACATCATAGGATGTGTGGATTGCTACTCAAATTTTGTTTAAGATACAATGGAGCCCAAGCGCACAAGTCAAATTCTTGCTCAAACAGTCACGCATTTCATTAAAACTATGTGTGGGGCATTGGTACTGATACGTGTAACCCAATGTTAGGTGAACAAAAAGGTGCTGTAACGGAATTGCAAAAATGTTTGCCAAATGCTCTAAAAAGCCCATGCGCAAATCATGCCTTGAATCTTTCGATTTAAAAAAGCAGCAGTATCCAAGCAGTAAGAAATACTGTAGGTATAATGAAGCAAGTAATTGCGTTCTTCACAGCATCCGCTAAAAGAAATACAGTATTAAAGAGAAAACTAAACGGATATTAAATTCATAGTATGTGCGAAACACGATGGACCGAGAGACATGATTCTGTGCTCCAACTTTAAAGCAAATTCGAGAAAATTGTAGAGGTACTAAATATTATATCAAATTGGAAAGACCGCGAAGCTTCTTCAAAAGCGGAGTCTTTCAAGACTGCCATAGCCCCACGGTACCCAATGGGTGTTTAGGCCTTAGGCCTTCGTGGTAGTTGGAATATAAAAAAAAATTACTTCCACCCAATTTATCGTATCACTAAAGTGTTTGAGTGTTTAACAGTCAACCTGAGTAAGATTTTACAATCAAAAACAATTGACAAACAATACGCTGTCAAACTCATAGGAAATATTATTTCAGTTGTACAAGACGCGCAAATTCGGAAAAACACTTTAGAATACTATTCGCATCTATAATGAAATCACATGAAACCCTGGGTATTGAACTGACTTTGCCAAGAATAACAAGCAGGCAAATGAACAGACAGAACATAGTTACGTCTGACAAGGAAAGTCATTACAGACTGAACCTATATGTCCCTTCGCTAGATAATATATTACAGGATTTGGTATACCGGTTCGATGAAGAATCTTTGAATATATACAATTTTAATATTTTCTTTGCGTCAGTATTTAATTCAAAAACTGAAGCTGAAGTAATGGTCATATTAGAAACAAACTCTAAATATTTGCATGGACTAAATAGTAACGAAAACAAAAATTTAATAAGTACCAGATTAAAAGCAGAATTTGACCTTTGGAAGTCACGTACACAAGATATTATGGACAGTGGAGTGTCACTGTATTCATCATGTGATGAAAACATTTTTCCTTCAATTAATCGATGCCTACAAATATTGATTTCATTGCCGGTAAGTGTTGCGACATCTGAAAGAAGTTTCTTCCATATAAAGAGGATAAAAACTTGGCTGCCCTCCACTATGTTACAAGAGCGATTAGTGGGTTTAGCCCTTTTGTATATGCATCGGGATATTAAAATAGACGTGAATACAATCATAGATCGGTTCGCCAGCAAAAGAATAGGCGCCTTGATTTTGTAATCTTATAACACCTGAACTTTGCCTAAGGTTGTTTCTCAAATCCATCTCCCTTCTGTTGGCCAATACATAAAAAAGCAGATGTAGTTAAGAATTTACTTACGTCTAAACCACCACGGTGATCTTTTCCAAAGTATCCAATCAAGATATGTAGTTTTATTTATTGGCCAGCAGGTTGATATAAAAGTATGTTCAAATCTCTTCCTAAGCTAATGTAATGATTGTTTTATTTTGAGACTGTGAACTGATGTAGTTTCATAGTTTATATGTTTTTGTTTTTTCAGACTGGCTAAGAGAAGAAGGAGTGCAGTATGTCATACAATGAACTATTTTGGTACTCGTTTACCTGGAAGACTCACAAGATTGACGATGAGACAAACAAGAAGTATGGTGAAAATAAGAGGAGAATTGACAGAATAGTTTGAGATTAATACAGGACTCAGACAGGGGGACCCATTATCAATACTTTTATTTCATATGATCCTAGAAAGAATCGTTATTGAGAGTCAGCTGAATAGATCAGGAAGTATATTATTTAAAAGTCACTAACTAACTGCCTATGCTGATGATGTCGCCATAATAGCTAAGGTTAAAAGGATAATGGAAAAAGTGATAGAGCAGTTTATACATGTTGCAGCAAAACTGGGATTGAAAGTAAACGAGAAAAAAGGTAAATTTATGAGAATAGGGATCAGTCAGGCGGAAACGAGGCTAGAAATAACGGTAAGCGCAGGAAAAAAGATTTTTTGGGGGTGGATGGGTTTGTGTATTTAGGATCGCTGATTAGTAATGAAATAAATAAGGACACAGAAGTAAACTACAGTATCGATAAGACCAATACATGTGCGGGAATGCGTAACAGAAATATTAAGTCAAAAAATGTATCTAGAGTCACCGAAATAAGGCTATACAATACAATTATCAAGTCAACCCTTTTGTATGGAGTAGAAACCTGGGTAATTAACGAAAAACTTGAACAAATATTACTTAGGTGGGAGAGGAAAATTTTTAGGAGAATATATGGAGGGATCAAGGTGGAGGGAGGGTATGTTAGGAGGTCTAATGCGGAAATAAATCATCTATATAATGAACCAAAGATAACAGAAGTAGCTAGGACCAGAAGATTTTAGTGGCTGGGGCACCTGGAAAGAATGCCGCAAGAAAGAACAGTGAAGCATATAGCATGGAGAGTTACGGATTCGAAGAAGGAAAGAGGGAGTCCAAGAAGAAGATGGAAGGATGCGGTTATGGAAGATTTGAGGAGAAGGAATATCAGAGACTGGAAGAAACGAGCATTAGACAAGAAGTGGTGGAATAAAGTTATTAAGCTTAGGGCCTGAATACCTGTTTTATAGCTGTTTATATATATATATATACATATATATATAAGTAGGAAAATAATGGGCAAAATCCGCAAAAAGGAGGAAAGTGGATTCGAGCAGAAAATAGGATAGGTAACCCGAGCGATACGTATTTCTGCTGGTTGGCTTCATCGGGCCCGAAATGAATACACATATGAAACTACAAAAGTAGATACACATGCCCACACATCCGGATATGGGTGTAACCTGAGGAAACGGAGTTGGAGGGGAAAAAAACGACACACGAATATATATATATATATATACCTTTCTCCGCATGATCATATTCTCTTTATATATATATATATATATATATATATGTATATACCCTCGCATTTCTTTAAGCCCTTATACACTTCACCTCTCATTCGTTTTTCCTTATTTACGTTCATTTCCCACTTGGTGATGTCAGGTTTACGTCTTCTTGTTCATTTTACGCTCTTCCTCTTCAGTGAAATTTCTTGAACTAATATTATCTTCTAATATTTCCGAAATTTCTTTAGATGCATACTCTATGCCAACGCCACCGCTTTCAGAAGTTTCTTCATGATAGACTCGCCTTTGTTCAATATCTTCAGAGAGAAACTCTTCGCCTAACAATCTATCTGACCGGCTAAGCTCTGGAAATTCCTCAATAGATGGCATGAGAGACTCGTTTTCATCCGCAGAAGTAACTTGTTGCAACATTCCATCAAGCTCAACTTCATAATTCTCTAAATGGTTGTTGATTCCTCTTCACTACCAAGCACCATGGACACGATGCGTTTTCCCCTAGAAGCCATCCCTAAAATGGGATAAACACTCGTAAGTCTTATTTGGGGGAAAATTATTTCTGATATAAGCTCTATAATTTTGTACTACCATCTTCGAAATATCCATCTAAAATAAATAATTTTGGGCAAATATATGTTCACTTACCTTTCCGGAAAATTGTCTTTTAGATCTTTAATATAGTCAGTGGCTATAACACCAGCATAACAGATTTTTTGACCTAAAATTCACTCTTATCAGGAAAGCGTTTAGTCTATCAGACGTACGAGGTGTATGGTAAAATGTTTGCCTAGTCTGAGTTACGAGGCGTAATAGATACGGCTAGATGGCGTATTGTTTGTTTTAGGAATACGAGATTTTAACCAAACAGTAAAGTACTCTTGCCGTAGTGTAGATCTGTTGAAACCCCATTTTGTGAGAAATTGCGACTTACAAGGTTTTAAAAGTAAAACGAATATATACTGTATCGTATAGTGATTCCAACCAAATGAAATATCGTAAAAAAGGCGGAGACGCAAAAAAGGTTCTAAATCCCCTTTAAATACATGGCACATCAGCAAGGTGTTTTCAAGTGTGAGTGAACCATCAAAATACTCGTTTCATTGTTTCACACGTGATTACCACCATTGATTCACTTCATGATGGATTAGTGGATAATCCATCATGAATGTTTCGGGAAATCTGCTTCTCTCATTTAAACTGTTAATAAATAAAATAAAAAATACAATTTCAAAAACAAGCTTGTATTTAGTTGATAATAAAACGAGCTGAAAATTTAAAAATATGTTTTCCGATTGTGAGCATCTAAACGATAATGAAGATTCTTCATCTCAAATCTTCAAATTAAAGGGTGTTACACCATTGTTCCATCCGTCTGTCAAAACGTAGCACGCCATACAGTGTGTCCCAGATTCGCTTCTTTATACAGGCATCTCGGCTCCTGTTATAGCTACAGCAAAGGTTAAATAGGGAAAGCTTTAGAGGAAACTTAGTGCTTTTGATAGCCGGCTTCAGGTTTACAATCGGTCAATTGGTTGTGAATATATAAGTGAAAAACTGAAAATGGCGGAATTTGTTTTTTGCCAGTAAATCCAAAACGGTTAATTTGACAGCTGTCAAAATGTGACATTATTTGGACATTTTTTTGAGTAGAAAAAGATGACATGACTCAATCGTCTTTTGTTTTCCAGCAACCCGTCTCAACTTTCATTTTACTTATGGTCGCCAAATTGGATCTTTTGATTTTTGGAAAAAGTGTAAAATGTCCAGACTAGTGATGTCTCACAAGTGCATAAAATATTGGAGTATCATCTAAATATCATCACACGTAATGGCATGCACGACGAGATGGGGGGGCATCAGGCACTTTTCCCACCGGGCCCGCACTTTTCAAGGGGGACCGGCCTGACGCTCAGACTGAAAAATCAATTCGAAAGAAAAAAAAAGTTGTGTGCATGTACGTGTAGCATCATAAGTGACTTTCATATAATGAAGTAAGAGCAATTTTAGTAACATTTTCAGCGTAAACTATTTTCAAAAACAAATAAGAAGATTGCAAATCGGCTTTAAAGTTTGGTTTAATTTCACGTAAAATAAAATAATACCGCCCATTGCAGAGTAGCAGCACAACAAACGAAAAAATATCAGACAGTATACGATGAAAGTGCTTCCGAATGCTTTCCAATACTAAATCTTAATATTTAGTATCGGCCAGTATAAGTTGACATGTGCTTTCAATATTTTATTATGACTCTTTGAGGCAGTGTTTCATTTC